AATGTCGCTTAATATCTCAATTCATCGGAATTTTTGTTCTGGTTAACAAATAGGCTTCATAGAAAGTCAGATTTTTGTTTCTGTCGTTTTGATCCAAGGAATTTGAGCTACCCTTCAATCGGATCATACCTGATTACCTCCCCAGGTTTAGCGCTTTATCATAAGTAATGTAATAATAACTTTCAGTTTTGTGGTAAAACTAAAACATTCAGTTTTTTTGTCTCGTTTTATTCACATAAATGTTTTCTTACAATATAAATGTTTAAATAATTGTACAACGATGCAAGAATTCTGTGTAGCAGCTCGTGTTGAAGATTACATAACAATATCTGTCATTACTACGTGTCAGAACTAATCCAAATTATTGCTTGGAATTATTAAATAGCATTAATTTCAAATATTATAAAATTATAAATAAACTAGCAAATTAAAAGAAGTATGTACATTTTTATTTAGGTATTATATACGTAATTTACATATACAAATTACACACACACATACATACATACATACATACATACATAGCAGTAAAGGTCGAGAACCAAAACCTAGTCATTGTGGTAGTCTACAAGCCTCCAGATGCAACATCCCAGCAATTCCAGGAACAGCTGTTAAAAATTGACCACTGTCTGGAAAATCTTCCAGCTCCTGCACCCAACATCTTGCTCCTGGGGGATTTCAACTTAAGGCACCTAAAATGGAGGAATATAGCAAATAATATTGTTGCAGTAATAACACTAGGAGGCAGCTCTGATGAAAACTCACACTCGCACGAGCTTTTAAATCTCTGCACAAAATTAAATTTAAACCAGCAAATAATAGAGCCTACTAGACTGGAGAATACACTAGACCTCATCTTCACTAACAATGATGATCTGATAAGAAATGTCACCATATCAAAAACAATATACTCAGATCACAACATAATTGAGGTTCAGACATGTATGCGTGGAGCCCCAGACCGACATGAGACTAGTCACGAGGGAGCATTCACCAAATTCAACCTCAATAACAAAAACATAAAGTGGGACCAAGTAAACCAAGTCCTAACCGATATAAGCTGGGAAGATATACTAAGCAACACAGACCCCAACTTATGCCTAGAACAGATTAACTCGGTGGCACTCGATGTATGCACAAGGCTTATTCCTCTAAGAAAAAGGAGTAGATGTAAAATAGAAAGAGACAGGCGCTCCCTTTACAGGCGACGGAAAAGAATAACAGAGCGGCTAAAGAGGTCAATATATCTGAAATGCGTAGGGAGACACTGGTCAGAGAAATAGCAAGCATCGAACTTAAGCTAAAAGAATCCTTTAGGAGTCAGGAATCGTGGGAAGAACTAAAAGCCATAAATGAAATCGAAAGAAACCCAAAGTATTTCTTCTCCTATGCCAAATCAAAATCGAGAACAACGTCCAGTATTGGGCCCCTACTTAAACAAGATGGGTCCTACACAGATGACAGCAAGGAAATGAGTGAGCTACTCAAGTCCCAATATGACTCAGTTTTTAGCAAGCCACTAACCAGACTGAGAGTCGAAGATCAAAATGAATTTTTTATGAGAGAGCCACAAAATTTGATTAACACAAGCCTATCCGATGTTATCCTGACGCCAAATGACTTCGAACAGGCGATAAATGACATGCCCATGCACTCTGCCCAGGGCCAGACTCATGGAACTCTGTGTTCATCAAGAACTGCAAGAAGCCCCTATCACGAGCCTTTTCCATCCTATGGAGAGGGAGCATGGACACGGGGGTCGTCCCACAGTTACTAAAAACAACAGACATAGCCCCACTCCACAAAGGGGGCAGTAAAGCAACAACAAAGAACTACAGACCAATAGCACTAACATCCCATATCATAAAAATCTTTGAAAGGGTCCTAAGAAGCAAGATCACACCCATCTAGAAACCCATCAGTTACACAACCCAGGGCAACATGGGTTTAGAACAGGTCGCTCCTGTCTGTCTCAACTATTGGATCACTACGACAAGGTCTTAAATGCACTAGAAGACAAAAAGAATGCAGATGTAATATATACAGACTTTGCAAAAGCCTTCGACAAGTGTGACCATGGCGTAATAGCGCACAAAATGCGTGCTAAAGGAATAACAGGAAAAGTCGGTCGATGGATCTATAATTTCCTCACTAACAGAACACAGAGAGTAGTAGTCAACAGAGTAAAGTCCGAGGCAGCTACGGTGAAAAGCTCTGTTCCACAAGGCACAGTACTCGCTCCCATCTTGTTCCTCATCCTCATATCCGACATAGACAAGGATGTCAGCCACAGCACCGTGTCTTCCTTTGCAGATGACACCCGAATCTGCATGACAGTGTCTTCCATTGCAGACACTGCAAGGCTCCAGGCGGACATCAACCAAATCTTTCAGTGGGCTGCAGAAAACAATATGAAGTTCAGCGATGAGAAATTTCAATTACTCAGATATGGTAAACATGAGGAAATTAAATCTTCATCAGAGTACAAAACAAATTCTGGCCACAAAATAGAACGAAACACCAACGTCAAAGACCTGGGAGTGATTATGTCGGAGGATCTCACCTTCAAGGACCATAACATTGTATCAATCGCATCTGCTAGAAAAATGACAGGATGGATAATGAGAACCTTCAAAACTAGGGAGGCCAAGCCCATGATGACACTCTTCAGGTCACTTGTTCTATCTAGGCTGGAATATTGCTGCACACTAACAGCACCTTTCAAGGCTGGTGAAATTGCCGACCTAGAAAATGTACAGAGAACTTTCACGGCGCGCATAACGGAGATAAAACACCTCAATTACTGGGAGCGCTTGAGGTTCCTAAACCTGTATTCCCTGGAACGCAGGAGGGAGAGATACATGATTATATACACCTGGAAAATCCTAGAGGGACTAGTACCGAACTTGCACACGAAAATCACTCACTACGAAAGCAAAAGACTTGGCAGACGATGCACCATCCCCCCAATGAAAAGCAGGGTTGTCACTAGCACGTTAAGAGACCATACAATAAGTGTCAGGGGCCCGAGACTGTTCAACTGCCTCCCAGCACACATAAGGGGGATTACCAACAGACCCCTGGCAGTCTTCAAGCTGGCACTGGACAAGCACCTAAAGTCGGTTCCTGATCAGCCGGGCTGTGGCTCGTATGTTGGTTTGCGTGCAGCCAGCAGCAACAGCCTGGTTGATCAGGCTCTGATCCACCAGGAGGCCTGGTCACAGACCGGGCCGCGGGGGCGTTGACCCCCGGAACTCTCTCCAGGTAAACTCCAGGTACATATATATATATATATATATATATATATATATATATATATATATATATATATATATATAATATATATATATATTATATATATATATATATATATATATATATATATGTAATGACTTGGAGGACATATAAATCTGTAGTGGAAGGAAGGCGGGGTAGGGGTCGTCCGAGGAAAAGTTGGAGGGAGGGGGTAAAGGAGGTTTTTCTGTGTGATGAGCTTGGACTTCCAGCAAGCATGCATGAGCGGATTAGATAGGAGCAAATGGAGACAAATGGCTTTTATGAGTTGGCGTGCTGTTGGAGTGTAAGCAAGGTAACATTTATGAAGGGATTTGGGGGAAACCGGTTAACCGGACTTGAGTCCTGTAGGTGAGAAGTACAGTGCCTGTATTCTGAAGGAAGGGGTGTTGATATGTTACAGGTTTTTAACTGTAGTATAGGCACACTCTCCTTTCTCGTTTTAACCTGATTGCATCCCCTTCCCAGGACGCTCTATGTAGCCCTTAGGGATTTAGCCCTTCCCTGCGAGTATAATAACATAACATGATTGTTGATGTGCTATGCATAGTGTTATCATGGACAAGAATAAAGTTTTGTCTGTTCTCGATCTCTCAAATATTACCTTGAATTACCTTACAGAATGCGCGCACACGCATGTGCACTCATCTATACGTGTACAGAACCTTAATACAGGTCATGAACACTATATGCACATAGGACATGAGTTCTCTTTCCTGAATTTGTGTAGTGGCTCTGACATGGATTTTACCCAATTTATTTCAGCTGGGTGAGGCAGGGTGGTGTGACAGGTGTAGTGTAATGTTGATATGACAGATGTAATCTGAAACTGACATGATAATGTGTGGCTGGTAAGGTATTAAACTAACATGATACAAGTGTGTGACTGATAATGACACAATATTACCAGCGTCAGTCATTCAGTAACAGTCATTACTAAGTTACATTTGTTTATGTTCACAGTGCTGTTAGTCGTGCGTGAGTGTGCTAGTTGTGGGGAATGGTGGGGTTATACAAGTGGGTTTGGGAGGGGAAGTACGTAATGAGTTGGTTCCGTGAGAGGGGCGTGTACTGGTAGGTTACATTAGAACTGTTTTAATTAATATAATTAGGTACAAGGATATCTTTTATTGAACAAATACTTCAAGCAGGTACTGTAGTTTTCTTACGAAGGACTTGAGTGTTTTCTTATACAGGATACGACATTCCAGCAAGATTGAATTTTTCTAACACATTTGTTCCTGGATGCGACCCACAATAGTCAGCTGACGAAGAGGTACCAATTTTTACTGCCAAGTGAGCTGCAATTGTAAGTCGCTGTGTCCTGAGTCTTGAGGTACCACTAAGTAGGTGAATGAAGGGAAAAAGGGAGAATGAGTCCAAGTAGGAAGCTTAAGTTTGTCAGGGTGCGGGTGGGTGATACCTTTTGACAGTATGGGGGTCGTGGTGAAGGGGGCGGTGTCGAACGGTCTGGTGTTGGGTAGCCTGATGGTGGGTGTTAGGACAATATATGGTGGTGGGGGTGTTAGATAGCCTGATTATGTGTATTAGGACAGTGTGTGATGGTGGGAGGTGTTGGGTAGCCTGATGGTAGGTGTTAGGACAATGTGGTGGTCGGTGTTAGAAAGTAGGAGAGGTGGTGGGTGGTTGGGCGGTGCGGGATAGTGGTTGTGGTGGTGTAGGGTGGTGGGGATGGGGGCAGCACAGGGCGGTGACACATGCTATATATACCGGGTGTAGCTCAGGTGTCTTACTTACACGAGTCCGCCGTCACCATGACAACACAGGTGCGTAATGTCTTTTAAGTTCACCTTCTTGCAGGCAAGTAAAATTCAGTCTGCCCGTCTCTCCTTTTCCTACCTAATCTATATCAGACAGTGATAGACCTATATGAAATTTGCTCTTTCATGTGGTCCAGGTTCTGCAGAAGATTCATTAGTCTTGGTCAATATATTTTCCGCCACCGTCCATAATATTGGTATCACATCGACTACTATTCAGCTATTTTGCAGTTTCTCTGACTAATGTTTTGTCGAAAATAAACAAGTGATTTGCAAAGGAGCTCAAATGCTTTAAATATCCAAGGTGATATCTTTCTAGGTCCTATAGCTATGAGTGTATGTATTTTTTTTTTGCCAGCATTGTTTATTTATGCATTCCTTTACAGTGTTTTTTTTCTTATTTTTTTGGTATCGAGACTCGTTCTTTGGTTGTCTTTCCACATGATTTATTTTTTTTAGTGAGCAAAAATGTTCTTCTCGAGCTTTATCTGTTATTAAGAATTAATGCCACTTCTGTTTTGGTTCATTATTATTATTATTATAATAAAGGGGGAAGCGCTAAACCCGGAGGATTATACAGCGCCTGGGGGGGGATGTGGAAGGCATTCAGGCTTAATTCGGGGAACTGGAGCACAGATCCAATTCCCTAAATCAAGAGCCCCTCACCAACATCAAGGAACCTTCCTTGAGGGGTGTTTTGGTTCAGTCTTCACTCCGGCGGCTTTATATATCATTTTAAATTGTTTATCTGCCTCCTTTTTTATTATTTATTTATTTATTCTTTACGTATGTGTTGTCCTGCGGTTATTATACTCTGTACTATTTCCTTCACATTATTATAATTAAGGGAGAAGCGCTAAACCTGTAGGATTATTTAGCGCCTGTGGAAGGGGCGTGTGTGGAAGGTATTCAGGCTTAATTCTGGGAACTGGAGCACAGATCCAATGCCCTAGATCAAGAGCCCCTCACCATCGTCAAGGAACCTCCCTTGAGGAGTATTTCCTTCACAAGCTCTCCCTGTTTATGTTCACATTATTTGATGTGTGTCTGTGGGATATATGTATTTATGTATTTGCATTATTCATTATTTTACTCTATAGAATGAGTTTCGATTATTAACAACTGTAGCCTACAGTCTACTGGAGATAAAAAAATCAACAAGGCTATTTTTTTTGGTCCAAGTTTATATACCTTAGTGTATAAGTGCAGAGTATTTTAATCCCAATTTTAGCTGGTCTTATGTTTTCAATTCGGGACTGAGTCATGTGGTAGCTCCTGGGCCAACAGTTTGTGAGGTCCTCCACTGATTATTATTATTATTATTATTCTTGGGGATGCGCTAAACCCGTGTTGCCACTACTAATTATTTGTTTCATTTAACTATTTAAACATCAGAGGATTTAAATTATGTATTTAATTATGAATTATAAATTAATATTTTTTCCTAGTAGTACATTTCTTTTTTGTCCGGCCCTTAATATGTAGGGACCCTGGGGAATTTCCACTGTTGTCATCCCTTAAATCTGGCTCTGCATGTATCACAAACCTTGTCTATGAATATAGGCTGAAGATTTAATTTACACCTTGGAAAGACGTAGAACTGGGAAAGATTGAAGTGTACAAATGTAAAACACGAACAAATAAAGGGATATAAATAATTTTCCGCAGATATTAAACCAAGACAGGTCCCCTCAACAATGGATTAAAGACGAAAAAAATTAGATTCGGAAAGGATGCAAGTATTGGTTTGGCTTTAGTTATAAGAGTGGTACAAATTCAGAAACAGCTTCACTGAAGCGAGAACTTTGAATAACTTTAAAATAGGTTGGACGAGTATACGAGTACTCTACTTTTCTCATGACTGGTGGTGTACAGATGGCATGCAGCCTTAATGGCTCTCGTGTAGTCGATATACTTTAAATCCAATAAACAAATCAACTTTCAACTTAAAGAGCTTGAAATGTATATTGAGTATACATATTTGCACTCTAAAAATATTAATTAATCCTCTCCTCCCAGGTAATCATATTTTCGTGCATCATTTTTGGGGCTGTGGCACGTCCACAGGGTAGCAGCTTCGGCGGCTTTGACTATCGCACTAAATCTTCTGGACTTCCAGGTGGAGCTGCTCACACCAGCCCCAACATCGCTAAAAGTTCCCATACCAAATCTAATAATGCTGCAGTTTATCAGATCCCTGGGTCAGCAGCATATCAAAACGCTGCATCATCACATGCACAAATTCCCTCAGCTGGAAGCCACCCAAGTTCTGCAGGAATAGGCTACTCCAATCCTGCTCCAGCTCACCAGTCACCAGCATCTGTAGCCTACCAAGCCCCAGCATACCAAGGTTATGATCAAGGCTTAGGTGTAGAAGGTTACCAGAGTCTAGAGTCTCCAGGATATACAGTGGGCGGAGGGATACAATTTAGTGGACTGACTGCTGAAGACCAAAAAAAATTAGCCGCCCATGAGCACGATGGCACCTCTTTCCACGGCCCAAACCAGGTAACAGTTGTCAATATTCAGTCATTACAATAGTAAGTGTTCTTTGTATTTAAATCCTCAGTGCACTGCACTACTAATATATTATCTTATTTGGTGCATACGAACCCACGTATACATTAAAAAATAAAATGATCTGAACATTGCATATTTCAGCTTCACATTGAGACCCCCTCCTTCAGAACGTGGTGTCAGTATGGGCCGATATTGTGTTCATACTATTTTATGTTTTATCTTCTTGTGAATTCATTTGTCAACTGGATATTGTCCTTTGATTTAGGTATGAAGGTCAATGATGTATATGTCAGTGATTTTTAACAATTCGAGAATAATACATCTCGTGATTTCTATTAACATCAATTAATTATTTGGTCATCTCCATAGCCTCACACCTTCGGGTACGCCGTTGAGGACTCCTACTACGGTAACCAGCACGCCCACAACGAATACTCCGACGGACAGACGACCAAGGGATCGTACAGGGTGCTGCTTCCTGATGGCCGCACGCAGATAGTCACATACTCGGCTGATGCTAAGAACGGCTTCATGGCGCAAGTTTCATACGAAGGCAAGGCTAAACCTTATCAGCATCCACAAGAAAAGACATCCCCTGGCTATCAGCCTCAAAATCCAGGCTACAAGACGCAGCAGGAACCTGCCTACCAACCCTCAGTACAGTACCGACCCTCAGCCTAGTGCATGCCATAGGCTGCTCCTACTTGTTGTTGTGTGTTTTGTTATGTTTTAGTGTTTTCATGATAATATTATACGGGAGTTTTTAGCGCTTTATGGAGTAACAAACTATAAAAACAATGAGAAGCGTTAAACTTAATTATTGTTGTAATTATATTTCAGGGAATGTCGTATAAATAAAAATTAATTTATATGATTTGTAAATAAAATTATGATCTACCTTTTAGCTTATAATGTATTACGATAAAAAATGTATTATGCTAAAAATAATGTGAGGCCATCTGGGATGTATAATAGGTCTCCAATATTGATTAACTGAACTAAATTACAAAGGTTAGTAAAACACTAGAACTTAAAGGTTATTAGCGCTTTTGTATAAAAGCAATGTGAAACATATTTATATAAAATTAAATACAAATAAATTGATCTCACTTCAAACATATATTTATATTTAACTTTATTATGTATCTCCATGAAAGGGGAAGACTTACAGTGGGTGTCTGAGACTTTTATTGTTCCGCCGCTGCACCTTTCATTTCCGATCAGTAATGTGAGAATGCCTCTTTGAATCGACCTCAAACTTTCAACACGTGTATCATAGTAAAGCGAAAGTTATTGTTATTATCGGGTAAACTATTTTTGTTTAAAGCATGTTTTTACTTAGCTGATTCAGCTGTTGTTTTACTCTACTTCTAACAAAGGCTTTTTCAATGCTGCCTTAATTAAGAGTACCGGCGAATCAAGAAGAAAGATAAACATAAAGATTTATTTCTTTGTAAAGGTTACAATGTGGAATAGCAATTTTGGTTTGCTAAGTCATGACGGGGCATTTCTGGCAGAAGAAAAGACCTCAATGGAAATAAGTCACTTTGTCTGACTTTTTTTGGGGCTATCCTAGGTTCTCTACACATATACTGCTATGTATGATAATCTATGTAACTATTTGTGTATACCTGAATAAATTTACTAACAGCCGAGATTACCATTCATCGGCTTCATTTTCCAGTTATCCGGATATATCACGGTTATATGGATTGCCGGTTACTGACTCAGGTGGAGGTGGATGTGTCCCCGTCTGCTAGGGCTTTCGCATGCGGGGGGGAGGGGGTGGTAAAGGGAGATTTGAGTGGGTCCTTCTGATCTAATTTGGAACTTTATAGTCCTTTTTTTATAAAGGGAAATTCTTTTCCCTTTCTCTTTATTGCTCAGCTTTGGGGACTCCCGTGTCAGCATTGGTATTATGTGGGCGTCTTGCCTTTGGACGGTTGTTCTCATGCAGGTCAGTAGATTTCAAGATGTCGTTACTGCTATACTAATGTACAACTAACTAGCTGTCAGTGTTTAGGCCTGATCTAAGTTAGGAATTTCACGCTCCTGTTTCTCTTTCCAGAGGAACCCTGTTTCCTTTCTCATTTCCAAGGACCCCAATGGAAATGACTTTTTGGGGATTATCCTAGGTAATTTACACATATGGTACTATGTATGATAATCGTACTTATGTGGACCTGTACCTAAATAAACTTACTAATTTTTTCCTTGGACTTTGGGAGGTGGGACTCAATAAAGCGTCAGCTTTGGTGGCCCTGAATAACCCCAACAATAACATCATAAACAATCTAGAACCTGAAGATTGAGGAAACCCTAAACCAACATAATCTTTAAATTCAGGACGTTTGCGCCACACTCGTGGTGTGACAGTTTCCATCAGAGGAAGTAAGGAGAGAGAAAAGGGATCCGTCCTCCTGGGTCGATTGTTTCCCCATCTAAACTTGGCGGGCGCTGACAGCATCACTCCATTGGGCTTTACCTCCCTTTCCTCTCTCTCTTTAAAGCTTCTTTGTGGGAATTGGTACTGGAGGTGGGGGGAAACGTCCTCCTGTGTGGCGGAAGCGTTTCCCTGATTAATTAAGACTTCAAGTTTCATATCTCATTTCAAGATCTTTTGTTCCTTTTCTTTCATCCCCACCTTCAATCATTTCCACCATCGAGAAACCTCTGAGGCTATGCGTCAGTGGGCCAGTTGAACCCTACACCAACACAACTTCTGAACCAACCTTCAAGGACTTCTGCGCCAGCCTTCGTCGGGTGTGGACGGCTCTCTCTCGCCTGAGTATCGGTGACAAATTTTCCCCGTTCTCTCTGGGACGCTTGTCCTCATCTATTTTGGCCGCCGGGCGCTCGACAGGAGGGGCACCTGTTCATCGGCTTTTAGCTAGCTCCATTTTTTTTCCTCTCTGCGGAAAATTCTTTAAAGGTCTTTGGTGGGAAGTCGGTTACTGAGCCAGGTGGGAGTGTAGGCGTCCCTCTCTGCTGGGGCTTGGCAAGGGGGTCCACCGGATCTAATTGGAAACTTCAAGTTTCTATCTCTATTTACAAAGGATCTTTTGTTCCTTTTCTTTCATCGCCCAGCCTTGGGCAACAAATTTTCCTGGTACCATCGAGAAACCGTACTCGATACGGCTTATGCTGTCAGTGGCCCTGATAAACCCAACAAAGAAGAAGAAAGACGCCAGCCGTCCAGTGTGAATGTCTCGCTCTCGCCTGAGCATAGTAAGTTTATTCAGGTACAGGTACACATAAATACAGTTACATAAATTATAGCAGCATATGTGTCGATTACCTAGGATGACCCATAAAAGTCAAAGTGACTTATTTCCTAGATGACAAATTTTCCTTATTCTCCCTGGGATCTTGTCCTCATTTTACTCTGGCCACCTAGCCTATTTGGGAACTTCTAGTTTCTATTTCTGTTTACAAAGGGATTCTTGTTCCCTTTTCTTTCATGGCTCAGCTTCGGGCAGTTGTTAGCACACTCGGCTCACACCCTGAGGTTCGTGGTTCGATTCCTGGTACGGGTGAAAACAGGACGTTTTCACAAGACATCTGCTGTCTGTGTTCACCCATCTGTAAAATAGGTACTTGGGTGTTAGCATCCTGGGGACAAAATTAACCTAATTTGCCGGAAATGCCCTGCATAACAAGGGCTTTCTATACAGTAGTATGTCATTAATGTCAGCTAGGCCTGTACATGTACTTGTAGAAATAAAGGTTATTATTATTATAATTATAATTTTATTATTATTATCTGTGCATCGAGAGGCCGGGCTTGAGCAGCGTAAGCTGTCAGTGGCCCTTACAAACCCAGAAAGACGAATTAGGTAAGTATGGATAAGATTTGTTGGGATTTATTTAGCCCGGAGGATTAGTCACCCAGGATAATCCAAGTGTGTCATCGAGGACTGTCTGTCTTATTTCGATTGGGGTCCTTTAATTTTGTTCCCCAGGATGCGACTCAGTAATCCACTAACACCCAGGTACCCACTTACTGATAAGTGAACAGGGACAGCAGGTGTAAGGAAACGTGCCCAACGTTTCCACCCGTGACGGGGATTAAAGCCACTATTACTTAGTGTGTACGGCTAGAGCGTTGCCAACTGAGTCAGGGGACACTATAGTTTATTTATGTACAGGAACACATAACTACAATTATCATACCAAGTAACGTGTATAAATTGCCTAAGATAACCCCAAAAAGTCGGATGAAGTGACATTTCCACTCGGCTCCTTGTATTATAAGTATTTCTGGGAATTTCCTTCTGTACTACCAGGTCTCAAACCAAAGTGCTCTAGATCGGAAACCCCTCAAGGAAGGTTCCTTGATGCTGGTGAGGGACTCTTGATCTAGGGAACTGGATCTGTGCTCCAGTTCCCTGAGTTAAACCTGAATTCCTTCCATCCCTCCCCCAAGCACTGTATAATCCTATGGGTTTAGTGCTTCCCCCTTGAGTATAATAATAATAATCTAGATCGGAAAGGAAATATTACATGATTAATAGGAAAGTAAAGGCATGTGTACATTAGTTTAATATCTTTATTATGTACCACAAACATCATGTGGTGAGTAGTCAAAATATATACAAAGGCACATAATGGGTCAAAGGAGTGGGCCCCAAAACTTGATAGCTAAGCTATTTAGTGGTAATGAACTGTTTACATGCTTGTATCTGGTTACATTCATGACGAGTTATTTATGCAGACATGAATTCAGTCAAAGAATATTACAGTGTAGTTTGTGTGGTTTTGAATTATTTTTATTACCTTATGTTTTAACAAATTATGAATGCATTTAAATTTGTGGTTATATGAGTTACTTACAATAGGTAGAGTCAGGGTATTTCTCCAGAAAGGTTGGTAATATGCAGTTGTGGACAAAAATACTTAAACACTTGTGAGTTGTTGCCAAACTCTCTAATTTTATTGCATTCCAGCTCATAATGATGTAAAGTTTTACAATAATCCATCTGGGAGAGTTTATATTTGGTTGTCTTCTGGTGCCCCATGGCTTGGTGGCTAAAGCTCTCGCTTCACACAGCGAGGATCTGGGTTCAGTTCCCAGCGAGGGTAGAAACATTGGGAATGTTTCTTTACACCGGTTGTCTATGTTCACCATCAGTAAAATGGGTACCTGGGAGTTAGTCGACTGGTGTGGGCCGCATTCTGGGACAAAACTGACTTAATTTGCCCGAAATGCTCTGCATAACAAGTGGCTTTTTATGTAGTAGTATGTCATTGATGTTAGCTAGGCCTGTATACCTTGTACATGTACTTGTAGAAATAAAGATATATTATTATCATCTGGTGATACTAATGCAACCTCTCAAAGACACTTGTAACTCAACCGGAGCCGAGCAGTGGTGACATCCAAGAGTCTGATTATTTCATTGGATGCACTATAGATATGTGAATCATCTTGTATGATAGAATGATAGGTGAGCTGACTGGTGTCAATCTCCTTCAGTCTCAAGCCAATGAAGTTTTTTTGTATTATTATTCTCAAACTGCTAATTGATAGCCCAAGATTGTAACCTACTTACTCCTTGAAGGTACATATGTACATATATGACTCTGCCAAGTCATTAGTTCTATTATGCATCTGAAGACCAATGTGAGATGGAATTCACATTGGTCTTCAATGTTGATTCCATCTCACATTGATACATACCACACCTGTAACTGGCTTCTGACACAAGAATGACACGAATGATACTCATGTAGTTAAGAGCATTTATGGATGATAGAGAACCAGTTACAGTTAACATGTCAACCTTAGATACATGGACACATTTGAGTACAAGGAGTATAGCAAACAGTTCAGTTTGAAGGACAGAAGCCTAGTTGTTGATGCATGCTCCAATTTTAATATGAGAACCATCATTATATGACAACACCAGCACTGCCAGCAAACAGTTCAGTTTGAAGGGTAGAAGCCCAAGTGTTGATGTATTCTCCAATTTTAATATGAGAACCATCACTGTATGACAACAGTGGCACTGCCAGCTGTCCTAAAAGAATTGGTGAACATAGTCATCAACATACATAATTTGTGGAAGAGAGTGCTGCGTAACTGACTTAATATATAATACGTATAAAAAATTTCCTTGTTTGTGGTTTACATGCTATAAAATGTTAATTACAATAATAATAATAATAATAATTTCTTTATTTTTGCAAGTACATGTACAAGGTATACAGGCCTATCTGACATCAATGATATACTACTACATAGAAAGGTGCTTGTTGTGCAGAGCATTTTGGGAAAATTAAGTCACTTTTATCTCAGGATGCAACCCACACCAGTCGACTAACACCCAGGTATCCATTTTACTGATGGGGAACATAGACAACCAGTGTAAAGAAACATGCCCAATGTTTCTACCCTCGCCGGAAATCGAACCTGGACCCTCGCTGTGTGAAATGAGAACATTAGCCACCAGGCCATGGGGTATCATGGCTGTGATTTAAGAAGCTATTTGGGGGGAAAGGGAGGGATAGTGGTTTGGAATGAGGTAATTTCCCATGATACAGGGAAGTGTTTCTGTTGTCTTATCTTACAGTCTTGTCTTATCTTACAGTCTAAGAAGATGACTTAGTCATCATCTCAGACATTTTACACAAGCAGCTAGTAAGAGATATTGGGTGGAATGTATTTTGTTGATTGGGTTTTGGAATGGGAATGATGAGGCTATTGGTCCATGATTTAGGTAGCAAGATCCTATTATAATTTGTTTAAGTTTAAAACATTCCCTTCACCAATGACAACACTTTAGGAGGTGGAATCTTCACGTAACACATAAAGTAGAATATAGCTAGAGCATTAACCCTCTGCACTACCAACTAACTGGGCAGTATCTAAATTCCATCAATAATAGTATTTTAACCTGGCAAAGACGAGAGAAGCATTAGGATGCTGATTTCTGCAAGCAGTTGCAGCAACAATAGACATCACTGAACCATCACAATTAATCATTCCACATCACTGCTAGTGCAGTCATTGGGAGGAAAAGAAACCAGTAAGTAAACAGCACATATCCTGAAGAAAGTAAGTTTTTTATTTTGGTATTGCATTGTAATATAAAATTTTTGATAGTAGATGGTATGGAAATACCCACAAATTGTAGACCAAGATAAAGAATATGATATTATGTATTTGAACTTAAGTAAGGCCTTTTATAAACTTCCACACAGAAGACTGATTAAAAAAGTAACTGCACATGGTATAGTAGAAGAAATTATCGCCTAGGTTGAGGCATAGCTGACCTGTAGGCAACAGTTTGCATTAATGGGTAGAAATCTGAATACTGAGTTATTACAAGTGGTGTGCCACAAGGGTCAGTGTTAGGACTCATTGTTGTTATGTAGATTGTTCACAATCTACATCAATGATATTGATCAGAGTATAAATAGCAGCATTAGTAAGTTGCCAAAATCAATAAAATAGGTTGTCAAATAATTTCTGATGAGGACACTATATTAGGTGGCAGCATGACCTGGATAGGATGAAGTTGTGGCCAGAGAAGTCGCAGTTAAGTGCAGACAAGTGTAAGTTCTAATCCAAGGATAGGCATAGCAAATGCAAAAAAAAAAAAATGAGTTCGGGATAGCAGAAATTTAATGCCATGACAATAGTGCAAAAGTGTTTACAGTCAAACTAATAGAATTCTCGGCTTCATAACAAGAAATATAAATAGAAGTCCTGAAATTATACTTCAGCGTTATACATCTTTGGTAATGCCTCATTTAGATTATGCTACTTATTTCTGGTCTCCATATTGCAGGATGTACAGTGCATAAATATGCTGGAAAATATACAGACAGGATGACAACATTATTAGTAATGCAGTAAATTAGGTTTTCATTGCAGTGTTCTTAATTACTTTATATGCTTAGCTGTTATAAACATTTTACAGAACTGCAAGTGAAATGAATTGGCTTGTTCAGGTACCACGTGCAATCCTCAAGCCAGGTTGCCATTTCTATGCTCCCTCTCTCATCCAAGCATCTCGGTACTTCACTACCAATGTCACACTCCCACCAGGTAACTATCCACCTGTAAGGAAATTAGTATTTCACTTCAGTTTGTAAGAATTTCCTTAATGTGAAAAAAAAGGGAGGTTAATTGCAGTAATACACTGTACTAGGCTAAAGTTCGGTAGAAGTCAGCATCAGACACTCAAAATTATACTACATTATTGAAAATTATATTGGATTTTTTTATTGTAATTGTATTTATGGTTTGATGTGCGAGTGCTTGTTAATTTTCTTAAAAGAACAGGCTCTCAATAATTATAAAATCTTAGGTTGTTAAATTATTATTGTACTGTACTGTACTAGATTTTTGAAAGACCGATAAAAGCTATGTGTTACAGTACATTAGTAATAGTTGATAAAATATTATTAATTGTTTTAATTTTTGCATCATTCAGCACATATCAACACATATAGAGGCAAGGAATATTCATTAGGCACATGATATTGCATTGTTAAGATTGCATTTTACTGTAGTAATGATGAATAATAATTAAGATATCCATACTGTAACATTATATCACCGAGTTAAATTTTCTGTATTGTGGAAATATATATAACAATGTAGTCTTCCAATAATTGTTCATTTCTCTCATAGCATTTTACATTAACTCATTAACTTTCATCTCTTTACCAACTGATGCTAGTTAAGGTTATTGATCTTACAAGTGAGAGCTACTCTCCCCTTTCTCAGATAAAATCTAATTGCCCCCTATTTCTCAGGTACTGTATGTTTTATGCTTCCCCATTATTATAATACATTAATAATTTACTTATTAGCACCCTTCTTATATTACACCTTACCCTTACTGTAGCTACTTAGTATTGATCAAGCATCTTTCAATGCACTGGCCGTATCCCACCGAGGTGGGGTGACCCAAAAGGAAAAATGAAAGTTTCTCCTTTTACATTTAGTAATATATACAGGAGAAGGGGTTACTAGCCCCTTGCTTCTGGCATTGTAGTCGCCTCTTATGACATGCATGGCTTATGGAGGAAGAATTCTATTCCACTTCCCCATGGAGATAAGTGGAAATAAACAACAAGAACAAGAACTTGTAAGAAAAATAGAAGAAATCCCAGAAGGGTGTGTGTAGTGTGACCTAAATGTAAGTAGAAGTAGCAAGACGTACCTGAAATCTTGCATGTTTACGAGGCAGAAAAATGACACCAGCAATCCTACCATCATGTAAAACAATTACAGGCTTTTGTTTTACACTCGCTTGGCAGGACGGTAGTACCTCCCTTAGTGGTTGCTGTCTACCAACCTACTGCCTAGGATCAAGCATGTTATTCATACTAAAAGCATGTGGATGGTAGAGTATTGTACCTCTAAAAGCTTACCCTCAACCTTTTCTATACTAGTACATAATGCATCATACTGTTCTTATTGCACATTTCATCATACCTCTTATGTTCATAGGGTTATCAATATTTTCATCTTGAAACATGTAGTGTTGCCCTTTATTAAACCCCCTTTTGTTTTAGGCATAACTTGACAAAATATTTCCCCACTGTCATTTATGCCAAACTTTTATGATATACCTTCTACAACAGTTATACCTTTTGTGCTATACCTTCTATAACAGTTATTTTCCCTTTTGCATTCAGTTCTCCCCAAATAATTACTTTCACTTAGCTAAAAATTCCCTAATCATTCATTTGACATCTTCCTATTTGCATCTCTCTCCACTTTATTCTCAACCACACAAATCTTGAATTTAAAATTTCATAGCCCTTGTTCTCTCTTCTCTGTACAAGAAAACACTAAACTTGGATGAGCCATACAGCTCCTACATTTTTTTTTTTTTTGGTTCTTACTATCACCTAAAAGGCTTAATGGTGCTATAATTCATTTTACTCTTACCCCTCTCGAGGGGTAAGAGGAACTCTTGATCATCAGAATGGGTCTTGTTCTTCCCTTCCTTGAAAAGACCTGATTTTCCCCCATAGTCAGGTAGTGTATGACCACCTACAAGTTTAGTGCTTCCCTATGAATATAATAATGTGTTATTTATAATTTATTCCTGCCTGTTAAAATTCTCCCAGCCTTTTTAATTATGTATTGTATTTTTAACTCTGCTTGAACATCCAGTTTCCTTTCCTTTATAACATCTAGAGTTAATAACAATAATACATATAATAATAATATTTTATTTCTACAAATACATGATACAACTTATGCAGACCAAGCTAACATCAGTGACATACTGTATAGAAAGCCTCTGGTTATGCAGAGCATTTCGGGCAACTTAAGTTAATTTTGTTCCTAGGATGTGACCACACCAGTCGGCTAACACCCAGGTACTTGACTCATGAAATCGTAATGACACGATTGCAAACAAACCATACCATGGGCGGGATTTGAACCCGCGGTCAGAGAGTCTCAAAACTCCAGACCGTCGCGTTAGCCACTGGACCAGCTAGCCACAATAAGATTCGTCCAACTAGGTATATTTCTACACCATAGGAAGGTTAGCATAGGCACCACTGTGACCACAAATGCAAGTTTTTACAGACGAATCTCCAGCTAGGGTGGCCGTGACAAACTCTAGCTGAAGTCCCCTCAAAGCTGTTAACATGACTCACGAAATCGTAATGACACGATTGCAAACAAACCATACCACGGGCGGGATTTGAACCTGCGGGTTCAAATCTCCAGCTAGGGTGGCCGTGACGAACTCTAGCTCAAGTCCCCTCAAAGCCGTTAACATGACTCACGAAATCGTAATGACACGATTGCAAACAAACCATACCACGGGCTGGATTTGAACCTGCGTGTTCAAATCCCGCCCGTGGTATGGTTTGTTTACCCAGGTACTTACTTACTGCTAGGTGAACAGGGATAGCAGGTGTCTTAAGGAAACATGCTCAATGTTTCCACCCATACTGGGGATCGAACCATGGACATTCAGCATGTGAGCTAAGTGTGTTAGAGCTACATCTACATACATTGAAAGATCCCAACTTGAAGAACACTTGGTTAAAATAATTTGTTGGGTCTTATACAATACACTATTTTTCAGTAATTTATTTATTATTATTTCTTCTTTCTTTCAACACACCGGCCATATCCCACCGAGGCAGGGTGGCCCAAAAGAAAAAACGAAAGTTTCTCCTTTTACATTTAGTAATATATACAGGAGAAGGGGTTACTAGCCCCTTGCTCCTGATTATTATTATTATTATTATTATTTTATATTATTATTATTATTATTATTGTTATTGTTATTGTTATTGTTATTATTATTATATTATTATTATTATTATTATTATTATTATTGTTATTGTTATTATTATATTCATTGGGGGAGTGCTAAAAATACAGGGGTCACACAACATCTGGGGAATGTGAAACAGTTAGGTTTGATCCAATGATTTAGTCCAAATCCTTGGATCAAGATGCCCACATTATCAATGAATCTTCCTTGAATTTTTTTTTTTTTGTATGACAAGTGAGTGTCATATCTGTTCTATATGTCATATTGTGTATTTTTATACTTTTTTTTTAAACATAAGCAGTATTGATACTGTATTTTCTATTTAAATTTTTAACAAGGTAGTTTTCCTTTAGATATCGACTTTCAAGAACTGAAACAAAAAGTAGAGGACAATAAGTTGCTCCTGATTGACGTTCGTACTCCTGATGAGCTAATCTTAAATGGAAGAATTCCTAAATCCAAGAATTTAGTGTGTAAGTAAGAGTGGAACACTTTTAAGTGTTAGGAACTTCAGAGAGTTTATATCTGATGAAAATTTATAACCATCTCTAGTTAGTGTAGTTATATGTATAGGTATTATGTAGGAAATGATATATGTAAAAGCATCTAATACTGTATTCAGATTGTGTACAAATACTGTATAGAAGCAGGTTATTAAGCAGAATGACTCTTACACTGTTTTGTAATTTGTGATATGATTCATTACAGTAACTCAAGCTTAGTAATCTTGCAATAAAAAAGTGAATAACTCTAGAAAATAATTGTATATGGCACAGTCAATTTACATTTCATATAACCATAATTTTTAAAATAGATTTTTGCAAAATGCTCCATTTCTATGCTGTAGAGCAGGTTAGGTTCTGGGCTACTGCTATAAAGGGAAACATATCTTTTTTTTCACCTTCAAATGCATATTAAACCTGAAAACATGTTTACACTATCATATATTAAGTGATCAATAGAGCTAGTCCTAAAAAATGCATATACAGTACGCACATTACTTACTTTAAAATATTTCTCATCCTTCGCTTATAGTGAGTGGTGACTATATTTATTGTTGGAAGTCTGAATAAATGAAGAATGTGTATAATTGAAAACCGCTGCATTGATGAAATGCCACAAAGTGAAGCACTGTACAGTGGGGCCCTCCTGTATTTCAAATTTTTAAAAGAAGTACACGTATACAAAAGTTGCCATGGAGCTTGTGCAGTATACTGTATCTGTATGACTGAACACATTACAAAGTAAAGATAGGGCACATTTATTTATGTAAATGTAAAACTTGCATTTCGTTTATTTCAGTGCAAATGTTAGGCGTTAAGCTCCTCCTTCCTGAAGAGGAATTTGCCTCACAGCTTGGGTTTGACAAACCAAAATTGGCTGAACCTATTGTTGTCAGTTGTTTGGGTGGTATCCGTGCTAGAACCGCTCAGTTGGCAATGATGGGAGTTGGCTACAAGAATGTTAGGTAAGTTTTGTTTTCTAAGTGGGATGTGAGCTCATCAGAGCTTTTCATATCTGGATACCTGGAATCTTCCTTAGTCTCTCTCTCTCTCTCCAAATTATTTGGAGGCTTTTGAAGACATTTAATTCTTACAATCTGTTTACATCATTCTAAAATAATAATATTTTTTTTTTCAACAAATCGGCCATATCCCACCTAGGCAGGGTGATCCAAAAAAGAAACAAACAAACACTTTTTCTCCACCACTCAACACTCACCACCATTCACACAATATCACTGTCTTTGCAGAGGTGCCCAGACATGACAGTTTAGATGTCACTCCAAACAGATAATATCCCAAACCCCCACCTTCAGAGTGCAGGCATTGTACCTCCCACCTCCAGGACTCAAGTCCGGCTAACTGGTTTTCCTGAATCCCTCGACAAAATATTACCCTGCTCACGCTCCAACAGCTTGTCAAGTCCCAAAAACCATTCGTCTCCATTCACTCCTATCTAACATGCTCACACATGCCTGCTGCATGTCCTGGCCCCTTGCACACAAAACCTCTTTTACTTCCTCCCTCCATCTTTTTCTAGGATGACCCCTACCCCTCTTCTCCACTACAGATTTATACACCCACCAAGTCAACTATGGGATCATATAGTGCTTGAGGAATGGGAGGTAATCAGGTTTGATCCAGGGAAGTGAGGATAGCTCCATTTCCCTAGATTGAAAGCCCTTTTACTAGATCTAGATCTGTCATGGGCACAAAGAAGCAATTAGAGAAAATTGACTTTGAGCATATATTCTGACATGTCAGGTTGATCCCTGGACCTTTTACTTAGAGGCAAAATACATTTAGAACTTTGTGCCTTCACCACCTTCCCATCTTGATTGATTTCACTTGTTACCTTGACACTGAATGACTATTTCCTAAAGTTTGTGTTGATTTTTTTTCTTTTATACACAACAATTGTCTCCCACTGAGGTATAGTGACCTAAGAAAAAGAGAAACATATTTATCATCATTGATACAATTGCTGTCTTGCTAGTGAAGGCACTGTACTTCCCACCTTCAGGACTAGTCTACCAGTATCTCTAAATTCCTTCATTAACATTTCCTGAAGGGATTCAAGGAAATCGGTTAGCCAGGTCAGAGTCCTGGAGGTGGGAAGTACAGTGCTTGCACACTAAAAGAAGGGTGGGGATGTTGCAGTTCCACTTAAATTATATGTATCTTTCACTGAGCAGTCACATGATTCAAGCACTTGATGTAAACACTTGCAGTGATCATTTCAGTTAATCAAATTATATTGCCACTTAAATATTGTGTAATTTTTTTGACTAATTTATCATGAAAATTATTATGATTACCATAAATCACCCTCATAATACTGCAAGTGGCATGCATAGTATGTACAGTGAAAGGGAAAATAATAATTATTACATTTGGAGGAGGAAAAGCAGGATTAATAAAAGATCTTGTCATGTATAGCACATATTACAAAAATATATGATGAGAATATTTTATGAGTATACTGTAATGTATATGTATACAACTTCCTAACTGAATTTTACCAAATTAAGAATATAGATAGGGAAGCTGTGATTTCGTGTATAGGGCAAGGAGAAATAACATCTTGTAGGAGTGAGGAAGAGCCAGTTGTGAGTGTGGGGGAAGTTCGTGAGGCAGTAGGTAAAATGAAAGGGGGTAAGGCAGCCGGGATTGATGGGATAAAGATAGAAATGTTAAAAGCAGGTTGGGATATAGTTTTGGAGTGGTTGGTGCAATTATTTAATAAATGTATAGAAGAGGGTAAGGTACCTAGGGATTGGCAGAGAGCATGCATAGTTCCTTTGTATAAAGGCAAAGGGAACAAAAGAGTGCAAAAATTATAGGGGGGATAAATCTGTTGAGTATACCTGGTAAAGTGTATGGTAGAGTTATTATTGAAAGAATTAAGAGTAAGACGGAGAATAGGATAGCAGATGAACAAGGAGGCTTTAGGATAGGTAGGGGGTGTGTGGACCAGGTGTTTACAGTGAAACATATAAGTGAACAGTATTTAGATAAGGCTAAAGAGGTCTTTGTGGCATTTATGGATTTGGAAAAGGCGTATGACAGGGTGGATAGGAGGGCAATGTGGCAGATGTTGCAGGTGTATGGTGTAGGAGGTAGGTTACTGAAAGCAGTGAAGAGCTTTTACGAGGATAGTGAGGCTCAAGTTAGAGTATGTAGGAAAGAGAGAGGGGTGTTAATGTTGCAGTTTAAAAACTGTAGTGTAAAGCACCCTTCTGGCAAGACAGTGATGGAGTGAATGATGGTGAAAGTTTTTCTTTTTCGGGCCACCCTGCCTTGGTGGGAATCGGCCAGTGTGATAATAATAAAAAAAAAGTAGGCCTTAGACAAGGATGTGTGATGTCACCGTGGTTGTTTAATATATCTATAGATGGGGTTGTAAGAGAAGTAAATGCGAGGGTCTTGGCAAGAGGCGTGGAGTTAAAAGATAAAGAATCACACATAAAGTGAGAGTTGTCACAGTTGCTCTTTGCTGATGACAGTGTGCTCTTGGGAGATTCTGAAGAGAAGTTGCAGAGATTGGTGGATGAATTTGGTAGGGTGTGCAAAAGAAGAAAATTAAAAGTGAATACAGGAAAGAGCAAGGTTATGAGGATAACAAAAAGATTAGGTGATGAAAGATTGGAGGGAGAGAGTATGGAGGAGGTGAATGTATTCAGATATTTGGGAGTGGACGTGTCAGCAGATGGGTCATGAAAGATGAGGTGAATCATAGAATTGATGAGGGAAAAGGGTGAGTGGTGCACTTAGGAGTCTGTGGAGACAAAGAACTTTGTCCTTGGAGGCAAAGAGGGGAATGTATGAGAGTATAGTTTTACCAATGCTCTTATATGGGTGTGAAGCATGGGTGATGAATGTTGCAGTGAGGAGAAGGCTGGAGGCAGTGGAGATGTCATGTCTGAGGGCAATGTGTGGTGTGAATATAATGCAGAGAATTCGTAGTTTGGAAGTTAGGAGGAGGTGCGGGATTACCAAACTGTTGTCCAGAGGGCTGAGGAAGGTTGTTGAGGTGGTTCGGACATGTAGAGAGAATGGAGTGAAACAGAGTGACTTCAAGAGTGTATCAGTCTGTAGTTGAAGGAAGGTGGGGTAGGGGTCGGCCTAGGAAAGGTTGGAGGAAGGGGGTAAAGGAGGTTTTGTGTGCAAGGGGCTTGGACTTCCAGCAGGCATGTGAGAGTGTGTTTGATAGGAGTGAATGGAGACAAATGGTTTTTAATACTTGACGTGCTGTTGGAGTGTGAGCAAAGTAACATTTATGAAGGGATTCAGGGAAACCGGCAGGCCGGACTTGAGTCCTGGAGATGGGAAGTACAGTGCCTGCACTCTGAAGGAGGGGTGTTAATGTTGCAGTTTAAAAACTGTAGTGTAAAGCACCCTTCTGGCAAGACAGTGATGGAGTGAATGATGGTGAAAGTTTTTCTTTTTCGGGCCACCCTGCCTTGGTGGGAATCGGCCAGTGTGATAATAAAAAAAAAATTTATTCTGCTTTTTACCCTCGGGGAACATACCTAGAGGGTGCTGTATGACCCCTTTGAGTTAAACACGTGTGAATAAAACTAATAATAACAATGACAATAAAATAGTAAGTAGTAGGTGGGTAGACAGCATCCGCCCAGGGAGATACTACCGTCCTTCAAAGTGAGTGTAAAATGAGAGCCTGTACTTGTTTTGCATGATGGTATGATTGCTGGTGTCTTTTTTCTGTCTCATAAACATGCAAGATTTCGGGTACATCTTGCTACTTCTACTTACACTTGGGTCACACTACGCATGCATGTACAAGCATATGTATACACCCCTCTGGGTTTTCTTTTATTTTCTTAATAGTACTTGTTCTTATTTATTTCCTTATCTCCATGGGGAAGTGGAACAGAATTCTTCCTCTGTAAGCCATGTGTGTCGTAAGAGGTGACTAAAATGCTGGGAGCAAGGGGCTAGTAACCCCTTCTCATTGCTAAGGTTGAAAAGAGAAACTTTTGTTTTTCTTTTTGGGCCACCCTGCTTTGGTGGGATACAGACATTTTGTTTAAAAAAGAAGAAGAAGAAGACAATAAAATAATAATACTTTGTATTCTTATATGTGTATTTAATGGTGCTGTACATATGCATTTAAATCTTTCTACTATTTAACTTTTAAAAAGGTTTTATTATTAGGGTATATGTTGGATCATATGAAGATTGGCTGGAGAAGGGAGGGCCAGTGGAATACCCTCAGTCAGAAACCCAGGAAGAATGAAGTGTTCCTCTTCAATTGATGACCTTAGTACAGTGTATTGGGGAAACAAACTGGATAGGTAATTGTATAATTTTTCCTACTTACAGTATGTTAAAAATAGTGATAAAATATTTATTTTATATACTGGTATTTCAAGTAAAAGCTCCTTTCACAGGTTGTTGCAAATACATTATACTGGCTATAGACTCCAGTATTACAGTGTTGCAGTTTGGTATTACTGTAGTTAATGATTGTAAGTATATCTTTAATAAAAAATACAGACATACAGCATTTCAATTTAATAAAAATATGAAATAGTATGATTGGTAATTTAGTAGGTTATTTTGTTCTCTTAAGGTCCTGCCTACAATGTAATGTGGACTCAGTTTTTAATATCTTACGCGACAGATTTGCTATGGAAACTAACCCCGTATCGTTCTTTCTGCCAGTATCCTTCAAGAGAGGTTCCTTGAGGCTGGTGAGGGGGTTCTTGATCCACAAAATTGGATCTGTCCTTCTCTGCCTTGGATTGATCCAAATTACTTCTCATTCCTATAGATGCTGTATGACCCCTATGAGTTTCGTGCTGCCCCAATGAACATAATGAGTTTTCTGCCATTGGTCTTCCCTCAACATCACCACCTCTTTCACTTTAGTTGTGTAGCACAGAATAACCCCGAACGAGTTTAGGGATTTACTGTTATATTTATGGGGAGGCTTTAAACTCATAATAGTCATACAGTATCCTCTGATTCAAGAAAGGAAAGGGTGGTTTCTATTTGTGAAATCAAGAGTCCTTCACTGGCATTGCTTTGCACTTCCTGTGAAGGGAAGGCAAGTGATAAAGATAAGGATTATAGTAAGAGATGTGCATTATTATTATATTATGAGGAAGTGCTAAACCCATAGGGTTCTCACAGTGCCTTTGGGAATGAGAGGCAATCAGATATAATCTAAGAAAAGGGAACATAGGTTCAATTCCGTGGATCAAGAAACCCTCACCAGCAACAAGGTACCTCCCTTGAGCTGTTAGCCTGTTTCATTCCACTAGCTATTTTTTTTACTCATTAACTTAAATTTAAATTGCATAAATTTCTCATTTGCCATAGTGCTGAATGAACCATATGAGTGATGCTTTTACTGTGAGTCTAGTAATAATTTCCTTTTCCAATACCCTTTGTTTGTGATGGGAGTAAAATTGTAGTAACATTCCTTTGGATGAAAGTCTCAGCTCCTGTATGAACCTTATGGGTTTAGTGCTTCCCCATAAATGTAATTATGAAATTTTTTATCACACATGCAAATGAATCGCATATACTGTGATTGTCAAGAGAATTATTAGCTGTACAATTCCAGCATGTCTTCATTATTTTCTATTTAATATAAACAGTTTTTCTCTAGAATAATGAATTTACTGTTACATTTATATCCAGCTGTTTTTGCAGACAAAATTTTAATTCCTCTTTCTTTAAAGAACCATTCTAGGTAGTAGGTTGGCAGACAGAAACTGCCCAGGGAGGTACTACTGTCCTGCCACGTGAGTGTAAAATGGAAGCCTGTACGTGCTTTACACGATGGAAGGATTGCTGGTGTCTTTCTCTGTCTCATAAACATGCAAGATTTCAGGTATGTCTTGCTGTTTCTACTTACACTTAGGTCACACTACACATATATGTACAAACGTACATATACACACCCTTTTGGGTTTTCTTCTATTTTCTTACTAGTTCTTGTTCTTGTTTACGTATTTCCTCTTATCTCCATGGGGAATTGGAACAGAATTCTTCCTCCGTAAGCCATGCTTGTTGTAAGAGGCAACTAAAATGCCGGGAGCAAAGGGCTAGTAACCCCTTCTCCTGTATAAATTACTAAATTTAAAAAGAGAAACTTTTTTTTTTTTATGGGCCACCCTGCTTCGGTGGCATATGGCCGGTTTGTTGCAGGAAGAGAATTTAAGTTTGATTTACAATACCCTTTTCATCCTCAAGTTTACACATTTCTCTAATCTTTTACCTTGACCCTAAAGACAAAAAACCCTTTAGTATGCAATCGCCATGAGTGAATTTCAGATAAAACAACACAAAATCGGGTTTTGACCACAACCTGACGACTGTTGCGGGGGGGTGTCTGCATAATTATCAGTGAAACCGCCAATCCCCTTGCTCCCACTGTTGTCCCCTATGGAGGTGTTTTATAAAACCTTTATGAAACAGGCCCGTCACAGGTTTGTCCAGTGGGGCTGATACCAACCTATCAATTTTCATTGCTCTGGGGAAGCAGGGCCACTGCCAGACCCCGTCGTTTTTTATTGGTGTAAACATGCTCATGTACCATTGTCATATGGGCTCCAGTTTCCCCCGGATTTATGTTCATCCTTATTAAAATAAAGTACCCTGTTCGTTATTAACAAGGCCTCATGGTAAGTATTGGTTAAAAAAAGTTAGAATTTGAGGTTAATTAGAAATCTTAGCTAAAAGGGAAAATGAAACTGGCATCTTGGTGGATAATACATGAGGGGTATGGTGTAGCAAACAATGGTTTTTCCCACACCCTCGCATCTCCTGTACCACTATCTGTGGGCCTCACACCACCTGCAAGTTTTTGCAAGCTTCAATGCCCTTTTTCTCAGAAAAAGAGCTTTCTGATCACCACTAGACAACAGGAATAACCTTTCTGTAGCTCATCTGCCCCAGAAAAAAGGGAAGAAAAATTACTTATCCAACTTTTTAAATCAATTTTTTGGGCACTTGTATTTTTTTTTTTTTTTTTTTTCAACAAATCGGCCCCTCCCACCGGGCAGGGGGAAACCCCAAAAAAAAAGAAAATCCCCCCCCCCCCAAAAAAAAAAATACTTTCATCATCATTCAACACTCGCCTCCCTCACACATAATCACTGTTTTTGCAGAGTCCCTCAGAACACAACATTTTAAAGAAGCATATACATGTAAAGATACACAACAATACCCTCCAAACTGCCAATATCCCAAACCCCTCCTTTAAAGTGCAGGCATTGTACTTCCCATTTCCAGGACTCAAGTCCGACTATATGAAATCCCTACACTAAATATTACCCTGCTCACACTCCAACAGATCATCAGGTCCCAAATACCATTCGTCTCCATTCACTCCTATCTAACACGCTCATGCACGCCTGCCCGAAGTCCAAGCCCCTCGCCCACAAAACCTCCCTTACCCCTTCCTTCCAACCTTTTCGAGGACGACCCCTACCCCCCCCTTCCTTCTCCTACAGATTTAAATGCTCTCCATGTCATTCTACTTTGGGTCCATTCTCTCTAAATGACCAAAGCACCTCAACAACCCCTCTTCAGCCCTCTGAAATAATACTTTTATTAACTCCACACCTCCTAATTTCCACACTCCGAATTTTTTGCATAATATTTACACCACACATTGCCCTTAGACAGGACATCTTTCCCCTGCCCCCAACGCCTCCTCCTCGCTGCTTTCATTCACAAACCCAAGCTTCACATCCATATAAGAGTGTTGGTACTAAATATACTTTCATACATTCCCTTCTTTGCCTCCATAGATAACATTTTTTTTACTCCACATATTTCCTCAACGCACCACTCACCTTGTTTTTTCATCAATTCTGTGATTAACCTCATCCTTCATAAATCCATCCGCCGACACGTCACCTCCCCAAGTATCTGAAAACATTCACTTCTTCCATGCTCCTCCTCCCCAATTTTTATATCCAATTTTTCTTTATCTAAATCATTTGATACACTCATCACCTTACTCTTTTCTATGTTCACTTTCAACTTTCTACCTTTACACACACTCCCAAACTCATCCACTAACCTTTGCAATTTTTCTTTTAGAATCTCCCATAACACAGTATCATCAGCAAAAAGTAACTGTGTCAATTCCCATTTTGTATTTGATTTCCCCATAATTTAATCCCACCCCTCTCCCCGAACAACCCTAGCATTTACTCTTTTTACAACCCCATCTATAAATATATTAAACATCCATGGTGACATTACACATCCCTGTCTAAGACCTACTTTTACCCGGGGAAAAGTAGTCTCCCTCTCTTCTACACACCCTAACCTGAGCCTCACTATCCTCATAAAAACTCTTTACAGCATTTAGTAACTTACCACCTATTCCATATACTTGCAACATCTGCCACATTGCTCCTCTATCCACTCTATCATATGCCTTTTCTAAATCCATAAATGCAATAAAAACTTCCCTACCTTTATCTAAATACTGTTCACATATATGCTTCAATGTAAACATTTGATCTACACATCCCCTACCCACTCTGAAACCTCCTTGCTCATCTGCAATCCTACATTCTGTCTTACTTCTAATTCTTTCAATAATAACCCTACTGTACACTTTTCCTGTTATACTCAATAAACTTATTCCTCTGTAATTTTTACAATCTCTTGTCCCCCTTCCCTTTATATAAAGGGACTATACATGCTCTCTGCCAATCCCTAGGTACCTTCTCCTCTTTCATACATTTATTAAACAAAAGTACCAACCACTCCAACACTATATCCCCCCCCTGCTTTTAACATTTCTGTCATGATCCCATCAGTTTCAGCTGTTTTACCCCCTTTCATTCTACGTAATGCCTCACGTACCTCCCCCACACTTACATTCTGCTCTTCTTCACTCCTAAAAGATGGTATACCTCCCTGGCCAGTGCATGAAGTTACTGCCTCCCTTTCTTCCTCGACATTTAAAAGTTCCTCAAAATACAGTGGACCCCCGCATAGCGAACGCCTTGCATAGCGAACAATCCCCATAGCGAACGCTTTGTTCGCTAAAATTTTGCCCCGCATAGTGGACAAAAACCCGCTCAGCGACCTTCGTCCAAGACGCGTCCAATGTGCGCCCTCAGCCAGCCTCACATGTGCCGCCCGTCCCATTGTTTACCAGCCAGCCTCCGCGTAACTTTCAAGCATACCTGGGAAATATTTCGTATTTTTAACATTTTTTTGGGTGCTGTTGGGAAAAAAGACCAGGGCCCCAAGAAAGCTTCTAGTCCAAACCCCCTACATTTAAAAGGGGTAAAAACCCATTGAAATGAAAAAGAGATCTTTGATAATATGAAATGGAGTCGATCACCGACCTGGTCGGGTTTACAAAAAACCCAAAAATCAACCTCGTTTCTTTTTGGGGGCAAAAAAAGGGAATAAAGGGAAAGCGTTGTTGCCAAAGGTTTTAACTGTTTTTTCGAAAAAAAGATCGCAAGTGAGGGAAGATTTTGAAGAGATTATTGGGTGGAAAATGAAAAAAGCTA